GATGCCCAACTGTTTGTTTATACATTGGGTGAAACTTTAAAACACTCATAAAAAAAACCACACCCACCTCTAACCCTGGGATAGACCCAAGGGGCTGCTGGGGCTTGCAAGCTGGCCTGCCAGCCTAGCTAGGTTGAGTGAGAGACGCAGTCTCAAGGGAATAAAGGGTGAAGTGGCAGGAATCCGACATCCTCCAGCTGTCTCTGTTGTACCTATTCCTATCTTCACATCTGTAACTGCCCCACAGACAGAGGCAGACAGACACTCACAACTGTCTGTAACTCTAGTTCCAGAGGATTTGATACCTTTACACATGCAGGAAAAACACCAATGCACATAAAATTTAAAATATAATTTTTAAAAAATAGCAAAAGAAAGGCTGGGCATTGGTGGCATGCATTTAATCCCAGCACTCGGGAAGCAGAGGCAGGAGACTCTGTGAGTTCAAGGCCAGCCTGGTCTACAGAGAGAGTTCCAGGACAACCTCCAAAGCAATACAGAGAAACCCTGTATCGAAAAATCAAAAAAAAAAAAAAAGCAAAAGGAAAGACAATTATTTCACTAAGTACAAAGCAGAGAATGGTCCCCAAATTTCACAAGGCCTAGAAATACAACGGGGAAAATTGGCATGTAAGCACTAAGAAGTGTTTTAAACCCAGACACACATTAATAAGGTAGTATTAAAAAATGTGAGGTCATTAGTGTTGGCTGCCTATGTGACTGGATTGAGGGATGCCTAGAAATTTGGTAAATGTTCTGGCCGTGTCTGGGAGAGTGTTTACAGAGACACTTGTCTGGGGAAAGGCTGTCCTGAACACAGGTGGTCCCACCAGTAGGCTGGGACTGGGAGGGGAAGGCAGAGATGTGTGCTGAGGCCCTCATCCCTCTGTGCTTCTCCAGCAAGTGGATTTGCTCTGGTACTGTTGTCTAAGGACATCAGACTCCAGACTCTTCAGCCTTTGAACAGAGATTTGCAACAGCAACTTCACAAGAAGCTTCCAGACCCTCAGCTCCAGTCCAGGCCACAGCATCAGACCCTCTAGTTCTAAAGCAGGGGTGTCCAGCCCATGGCCTAAGGACCAGGCAAGGTCCAGGATAGCTTTGGGTATCAAAAACCACAATCTCACTTGGAACATTATTAGCTTTCCTTGGAACTTTTTTTTTTACTTGGTTGCAAAGTCCTTGAGTGTAAATGTTTACATGAACAGTGTCATATCACAGTATCACTCAAAACACATGTATGCATGCTCTTGCTACCTGTGCACATGCTACCTGTTTCACAGCAGGTGCAGCTTCCAGGGTGCTAGGCATGACCCCATCAGATGTCACAGTGTCCACGGTAACTTAGGGAGTGAAACGCAGCCATTATCAGAAATACTTTATCACTGCAAGCGACAGGTATGTACAATTACTCAGAAGTCAGGTTTTTGTTACATTTATTATTTACATGTTTACTTATTTAGGGGTGGGTCACAGGCCACAGCACACATGTGGGAGTCAGAAGACAACTTGCAGGAGTCGGTGATGGGTCCCGGAAACCCAACTGAAGTTATAGGCTTGGCAACAGTCACCTTCAGCCACTGAGCCATCCCACCAGCCCTGAGGACAGTGAGGCGTCCCTACTGGATTATTAAGGACACTGCCACACATCAGCTCTGCTCCATGCCCTGCACCCAGAGCTGAGGGGTGGAAAAGCCAAACCTTCATGCACTCCTGTCAATCGATTTCCATGATAGAGTGGATACAGTCCCTAATCTATTTCTTAAGGCCTTAAATGGCTTCTTAAAACATCTCAAAAAAAAAGTAGGCTCCAGATCCTCCCTAACTCCAGTCCCACATGGTCAGATTCCTTCTTTTAGTCTCTTCTGAGGACCTGGGACAGAGTGGTACACAGACATATATGCTAGCAAAATACCCATACCTGTGGGATACTTGTTTTTTTATTTCATAAAGGCACTTTGGGAGATAGAACGGCCAATTTTAAATCTTACACTTTGTAGATGGATGACAAAAACTGATGTGCCATGTTGGCTCAGCTTGCTGTTTTTATTAGGAGTGCTGATGGCAAATGTAATGTCACCAAAGACATGGCTTTAATACCTTTAAAAGACACAGCTCAACCAGAAGACAGACACAAAGCAGTGAAAGATATGTTGGGACTCTGCCATTGTCAACACACCTGGTACAGCTACTGGTGATGCCCCAGAACTTAAAACAATCGTAGAAGGCAACTCAAGGACCATGCAGAACCAGGCTCATCACGTGAAACACAAACAATTGCAAGCCTGAAAACATTAAACATGGATAGTGTTCTGTGACTTGTCAAGGATGCATCTCATGAGAGTGGGGGATTAAATCACCACTAATTCCAAGAATCCCTTAAAACCATTGATGCTAACTATGGTGACATCATTTGCTTTTCTGAGGAACAATGACTAAGTCAGGACCAAATGTCGCGAAGATTTTATTTGCAACGTGCTGTCAATTTGTTTATGGGTGGCATCAAAAACAAAATTTGTGCCAGGCCTTGATGAAAACTGGGTTACAGGTTTTTCATTTTTAGTGGATTTTACCACTCATGTCAGGGAGTTGAGCATCTAAAAAGTAAAAGAGAACTTATCAATACAACCCCTCAAAATCACACTAACGTTCCAACTGAAACTAAAATTATAGCAGACTCGAACAAATGAAACATCAGGCATGCCAACACACAGACTAGACACATTCCTGTGGACAGTGAGACTTATATAGCCTTGCTTTTTATTTGATAAAGGAATTTGAAAACAGATCTCAGGATTTCCAGGAAAAGAACATTTAGGTATATTTGGGACTCCATTTTCAGTTGACATAAATGTGTCAGCCAGTTTTCAAGTGGAAAAGAGAGCCTGCCACCTGGCATTTAGTTAAATGTTTGATGGTGTCCCTTACTAGACTTTCACATGTCCTGCTTCCCAGGAACAATGACCCTTGGATTCACAAGCATCCCTTATTCGTGTCACCACTTTTTAGAAGTGCCTATATCTTCTGGGTCTTTTATTTATTTTATTATTGGTGGTAGTAGTATTTACTCATGATAGGAGGAGGTCTCCAGGTCGTTGGGGCGTGCCCTTGAAGAGGCTGTAGATTTCTGTCTTTTCCTTTTGGGGTCTCTTTCGGTGTCTGGTCATGAGGTGAGTGGCTTGGCTCTCACCATCTTGCCCCATACCCCAAACCACAAAGACCAACCACCCATCAACAGAAGGCTTTAGAAGCATGAGCCAAGATAAACCTTGTCCTTTTTATTATTTCAGGTACCTGTCACAATAATACAAAATTCACGAGTGTACCTACTTATCGGGCAGGTAGCAGAGGAAACTATCAGGCCTCGGTGTCAGACAGTTCAGAGTCTGCGATTTAGCAGCCAGGTGTCAATCAACAGTCAAGAGCGAAGCCACCTTGATTCATCACCTGGCACAGTGAATGGTCCCAGGCTTCACAGTGCTCCTTGAGGGAGACATGAGCATGCACATGTGATGAAGCTAGAATAATGCCTGACACACAGAATCCCAAAGAACTGTCGACAGTGCTCTTCGGATGGTGTTAGGTCAAGAATGACAACAAAGGGGACAGATAATGAGAAAACAATGCAGAGAACTATTCGCGGTCTGGATCATGCTAATGGTTTTGCTTTTTATCATCTGCCAGAAAATCAGAGTAATAGGAAGATGGGCCTGTTATCTGTTTAATTTTCCAAAGACCACCCCGGCAGCAATGTGATAGAACATGCAGCCCACACACACTCCCCCATACACATGTGTACACACACACACACACACACACACACACACACACACACACACATCCTGTTCACTTACAAACCAGGAAGAAGGAAATTCCTCACCGGACACCAAACTTGCCGATACCTTGACCTTTGACCTCCTCCTTCTGCAACTCCAAAACTCAGGGAGAAGAGAATGTCTGTTGTTGAAGGCTTCCAGTTAGTGGTCTCTTGTTATGGCAGCAGGGTCGGCACTTGGTACCCTGATATGGAAAGGAACTGCAGGGGAGCTGATGTTACGGCTACATCTGCCAGCCCCATCCATTCCCCAGAGCAGTGAGCACAGACCATCCTTTATCATGAGCTGTTCTCCAGTAACACCTCCATCCACAGCTGTAAAGCAGTGGCTCCATCGCTAGACTTTGCCAGCCACGATCAACTACCTCATAGGAGAAACAAAAGCTTACATTGCCATGGCCCAAATGCTCATGGCAACTGTGTTTTCACCCAGTCTGGCCATTTCTACGTCTTATTTGTGCAGCCCTGGTGACCTGGAAGCAGTGGGAAGCGTGCACACGCATGCACAGTTTCTGATAAAGATATATGCCCAAACATGAACAAATCCTTGTATTTTCTGAAGTTTCTAAAACATGCTACCTTTGTAATTAGGAAAATCCGTGTATCTGAAATGCTGCCAAATGACTGGTGTTAATGGCAAAGAAAGTATTTGGAAATATTACAGAATTTATGCAGAGAGGTGGTAGATGCTGGACACTTGATCCTAGCTCTTGGTTCATGCAGATTTCCTGAAAGACCAAGAAGTAAATTCGTGTTATTGTTCTCTTTTACTAAACAAAGTAAAATGGTAGGTCTAAAAGTCAACTTATATGTACACCATATACATATGTATCCTCTTTCTCTCTCTCTGTCTCTCTGTCTCTCTGTCTGTCTGTCTCTCTCTGTCTCTGTCTCTGTCTCTGTCTCTGTCTCTCTCTCTCTCTCTCTCTCTCTCTCTCTCATCCTCCATCTGCTCATTTCTCAGGAACCTGCTCTCCTGCCTGGTTCTGGGCAAGCAACAGGGAACCCTGCTACCCACCCATTGATAATGGAAGAAACGGAGCCCATTCCCTGATTCCTGTGACCGAGTGGGATGTAGGAGAGAAATCAGTGAAAAAATGACTGGGGGACAGGAATGCCACAGCCCTGTTTCCTGAAGCACTCTGATAGAAAACCACACGACTACTACAACAGTGAGAAACTTTATGCATATATCTTTGTCATCAGTACAGTTCTGCAGAACGAGACAAGAGAAAGGGAGAACATTGTTCCAAACAGTTACAGCCATAGATGGACATTACAAAATAGGTTTAGATCTAGAGGGTTTTTTACAGAGGGTTGAGGTGCAGTGTTGACTCCCCCAAAAAAGTGTTCAGGGGACACAGGCAGACATGGAAATAAACTCCTACAGTTAAGTTCTTCTGGTGTTTGCATACAGTGTCAGATACTTGGGGAAGACAGAGTCGATACAGGCCTCTGTACATGCTGTGGGAGAGGCTATGACAGAGTTCTTGTTCTAAAAGGCTCAGAAGTGGACCTGCTGGCATTGTGACTACTTGGTACAGTGCATGCACGGTGTTGGTACAGAGAGCTTTAACGGGGATCTGTTGAGTTTTCTAAAGTGACATGGTCATTTTTACTGCAAAAAAAAAAAAAAAAAAAACACTTCCCTTTCAACTACCCATTCAACCGATACTCACTTCATACCCTGTACGGGTCTCTCTTGTCTCTTTCTCAAAACATAAGAGGAGATTTGATAGAACGGCTGGTAGTCGCCCCACCTGATCACCCGCCTCCCCCCTGCAAACACCCAGACTCTCAGGAGCCAGGGAGCCTGGTAGAGAGCAAACAACTTATTATTCAAGTCAGACATGACCGACAGTTGGGGGAGGGACTTAATTGGGATGATCGAGAGAAAATGAGACAATGAGATGAACAGTTGTTATCTAAAGTTTATCAGATAACAGAATCCTTGTGCTTAGCTTTAGGAAACAGTGGGTCCCATCACCTGGGCGTGGCATGCAAAGTAAGCCCAACCCCCTTCCCCCAACCCACATCCTTCCCCAGGCCTAGGAAAAACATGGCTACCTGTTAACAAGCTGCCATGCTAACTTCAGATAGAACTCCTACCGAAACTATAATAACTTATTAACTACTTATTCTATTTTTGGGCCCTTTGGGGCAAAAATACATGTAGGGGATGAAATGTGTCATTCCTGTACAGGCTTTTCATTCGCAAAAGCCCACACAATTCCACAAATGAGTACCTCTCATTGTAAAAGCCCCCTCTGAAACCAGCTCTGGCTTCAGAATTGGAGAACCGACTTGCTCAAATGAACGCCAACGGCTCCAACAATATTCCTGCAAGAACGGCCAAAGACTTCCAGAGACGAAGGTAAAGATGTCACTCTATTCTGCTAATGACGGTGGCAATTGAGTGAGGAACCCTTCATTTAGGCAAGGGAAAGGTGCACAAAGCATTTTGAAAAGGAAGTAAATTTTCATGGTGAGGAGGTTTCACAGCTCATCCCGTAAACGCCATCCCAGGACTCTGCCATGGAGAGAAAGAGCCGTTGAGTCAGGAGGCTGTGGAGTGAATGGCTTCCTAGTCTTGGCTCGGACAAGCTCTGTAGCCAGTGCACATGGACAAAGAGCAGTCAGCCAGCTTATCGTACTAGAAGATACATAGTGAGGTCCTATGGAACACTGGATTATTTACCGTGAGTAACTGAAGCGAGCGCCACTTCGTGTGTGTGGTGGCGCAGAGTTCCCAACTGCATAGCGGAGACAATGCTACCTCTGACCTGCTGGGACCAGGGTAGGAGCAAAAGGGGAACATGAGGGAAAGAGCTGGGGCCTTCTCCAGAGAAAGGCAGTGTTCAAATAACAAAGAACTCCAACCCATAAAGAACAAAATTCAAGTAACAGTCACGGGTGCCGTGTTCTGGATGGGAAAGGCTCTGTGCATCTGCAGTGGAGAGAGCTGGTGGGGACAGGAACCACAGTCAGAGGATGCACACGTTCCACACAGAGCTCACTGGCTCCTCGAGAGAAGAAAAGGGGCCTCGGGAAAGGTTGGAATCAGCAGTCTGGAGTCGTTGCTTAATGCATAGCCCACATGTGTGTCTCCAAATGCTCTCCAATTTGTTATTCAACTGGTGCAAAGGCTTTCTTTTTCATGGGCAGAAATAGGAAGTTAAAGAATCTTGATTTTTTTCTGCTATGCTTTAGTGTATGAATAAAAAACAATGTGAAGACAGGTGTTAAAGTATACACATACACACACACACACACACACACACACACACACAAATTCTCTCCCCTTTCCAACAGAGCAGAAAGAGGAACATCTGGAAGTTTTTTTGTTTTTGTTTTTTTTGAAAGAAAGTTACTTTCTACAGTTTCAAATCTAGCAAGCTGGTGTGTTCATTCATGCTTGAGTAGTAGTGGTGTCCGGGGGACAGGAAGGCCAGGGGGATATGGTGCTGTTTCAGGGATCCCACCAAAAGGCCCTGAGAAGACCAGAAGAGGGCTTAACAGTCTACATATTGTCTTTTCTAAGGAGCTCACAAGGAAAATTGGGGAAGATCCATAACTGAGAAGCACACGATTTATTTAGTCACAAGAATCCACTTATTCACTTTACGGCGAGTGACCCAGTGGATGCCCTGGTTCCCACCACGACACTTCCAGTTCCCATTTGGATGAGCTCTTGGCGCTCGGCTCCGAACCTCTCAATTCATGTTTACTGGACAAACAACACAGGAAGGGTGTGGCTGGCATGCTAATGCCGCCGTGCCACGTGAGTCCAGACACTGAGCGGCTGGGAGGCGTCATCGCTTCTTGGAGCTGCTGCCGCTGCCTGCAATACTCGACTTGCTGAAGCTCCTGCTTATCTGAGGAAAGTGCATGGTTGGCGTTCTTTCTGTAGGGCCATACAATCCCAAATTCCTGGCCGTGGCTGACTTCCGAAGTGGCTTGACGCTAGGAAAGGGGCTGAAGATGGGGGCTTTTGAGTTGCCGCCGGGGAGAGGTTTGCTGGTAGCCTGGTTTTCTCCGGGAGCATCGGCTGACTCTGGGGCGTGCGGCTGGCAGGGAAGGTGCACCTTGGGCTCAGTTTCTGCAGGGGCATCCCCTCGGTTCAGTTCCAAGGCTTCTAATTTCACCTGAACTGCAGCCACATCAACCACGTCAGCATCCCCAAATACTGGCTCTGGAGACTGCCCTTCGATTGTCCTGGGAGTGTCACCATCACAGCTGCTGCTGCCCTCGCCGCCAGCTGTCGCTGCACAACCCGAGGGAAACTCCTCGGCCGCCCCCAGGCTGCTAGCCCTACAGCCTTCATTCTGCTCTTCTATGAGCCCTATGGTGTCCCCACAGCCCAGGTGACTCTTGGTCCTTGGCATGTTCTTTTTGTGGACTCTGATGTGAGTCCGCCATGGAGAGTTGAGCTTTGTCTTAAGGTCTTCGTAGGGGACAGGAGATATTTTGCCTCCTGCGTGGCCGGGGATGTGGATGACTGCGTTCTTGGTGGTTCTGTTTGTGATTTTCATCTTCTTCCCCAGGAGAAGGTGGTTAATCACTGGAGAATTGTTTACCTGAGATGGGAGGATGCTGGTGACTGGTCCTTTGTCTGGAAGAAAGGGTGAAAAGAACGGCTGTGTGAAACACACCATGCATAAACACATCTATCGGAACGGCAATCTCACAGAGCGCTGGCTTCCCAGAATCTTCTCCCCGTGGATTTCCCAGGTGCTGGCAGAGTCATGTGACTGAGGACAGTAGAAACTGAACAAACCTTAGCACCTGTGATGCCCAGTTCCTCCTCTTCTGAGAAGACAGCACTGGAGGCTGGGGATGTGTTATGGTTTAGATGGGGTGTATGCCCCCAAAAGGCTTAGTCCCAGCTGCTCCATCCCATCACTGACTCCATCATGGTTTTGACCTAACTGATAGTAACTGCCCCTCAAAGAACCTACAATTGCATCAGTTATGTGGAGGTGGTTGAAACTGCAGCTGTGGGTCACGGGAGGCATGCTGACCAGAGGCATGCTCTTCTCCCCAGGCTCTTCCCCTCTGGTTCTGCGTCCTGGCTGTGGTGGCATAGCAGCTTTTCTCTAGCCGCGGCTTCCTACCACTCTCTTCGCCACCTCAGGCCATGGTGAGGGAACCAGCCTAGCACAGCCTGAAACCCTGCGACCCACAAATCAAAATCAACCCCACCTCCCTCTGACTGTTTCTCTCAGACACTGCTCAGTTACGAAGTCGAACACACACTGACCTAAAAAAGGAACAGGGACCCTTCTGACCCCATGTATTCCTAAAAAAGCTGGATTCCCTGCTGATTCTTAGAGTTTCCGTCTCTGAGAAACAACCTTAGAAGTTGGGTTATCTAGAAAACCTTTGAAAAAATCAAAAACAACACAATAAACTCTAACACAGAGGCTCTCGACCTTTCTAATTTTGCTGCTTTTTAATACACTCCCTCATGTTGTGCTGACCCCTAGCCATAAATTTTTGCTGCTCCAGAACTAAAATTTTGCTACTGTTATGAATCGTAATGTAAATGTCTGTGTTTCCCAATGGCCTTAGGCCACCCCTGTGAAAGGGTCATTTGATCCCCCCACAGGGGTCATGCCTCGCCTTTTGAGGACCACTACTCTGATGGCATGAGGTGTGAGAAAGAACACACTACACAGACTTGAAGACATGCTCAGAGATAGTAAACGCAGTGGGATCACACTATCCCAGTGCATGGCCCTAAATATGAAAACCTCGATGGGCCTCAGGCTCAATGGGCTTTGGAAGTCAAAAGGCAATTAGCACAGCAATGTTCTGGAGGGCACGGATGGCCTCGCCGTCCTCCTCCTGAGGAGATGACCGGGGTCCTGTTTATAATGCAGCATCTAATACCTCAGATCCCAGAGATGACGGCAGCGGCCAGAAGCACTGTGGAGAAGTGTTTGGAAGATCTCTTCCTCCCCGGTATCTGTGCCACCTGGCTGGCTTCCGTCTTCCCTCCTCAACTCTCATCGTTTGCCCCTGGTCACACCCCCGCTCACTGGAAACATTAGCGCTTCTCTACCTCATGTTACCATCTTCCTCGATCTGCTGCTGTTGTCACTGGCCTGCCTATTGCCGTTTTCATGGTTCCTTTACCTCCTCCATCCTGAACCTTAACAACTCTGTGTGTGTCTCTGTCTGTGTGTGTCTCTGTCTGTGTGTGTGTGTGTCTCTGTCTGTGTGTGTGTGTCTGTGTGTGTGTGTCTCTGTGTGTGTGTGTGTCTCTGTCTGTGTGTGTCTCTGTGTGTGTGTGTGTCTCTGTGTGTGTGTGTCTCTGTGTGTGTCTCTGTCTGTGTGTGTGTCTCTGTCTGTGTGTGTCTCTCTTTCCCTCTCTCTCCCCCTCTCCCTCTCTACACAAACACACACACACATGTCTTAATATTCCTCTTTGACTCTTCAAGATCTCAGGCTCCCAAACTAAATATTGCTGGTACCAAACCATGGAGACTCTTACCTCCTGGTTGTCCTAGCCTCTCATAGCCCTTCCTCTTATCTTCAATTCACACACCAAATGGTTTAGACGGACGCTGTTCAGTTCAACCAAGGCTACACTAACAACTGTACATCCTACCATTCCTATCCCTTGGTCACAATCCCAGAGAAACTCCAGGCTCAGTTCTAATGCTCATGTTCTTGTTCCTGGATCCTAGCCCTTCACGTTCATGACTTCTTGTTCCACTGAGACCTTAACACCACTAATCTTTCCTCCTTTTCCCTCTTTCAGTCCTTTCAAAGATCTATTCAGATCTTTATTACCTTCCCTAAGTTCCTTCTTTTCTTCCACACCTCCGATGTACTCTCTGCAAATAACATTTCTCCTAATCTTCCCAAGAAAACAGGAGCTCTTGGGTCTTAGAGACCTTGACTTCCTATCCTGCCCAACCTGGGAATCTGGTACCTCAGGTCCTCCCTACCCTGGGTATCTGGTACCTCAGGTCCTCCCTACCCTGGGAATCTGGTACCTCATGCCCTCCCTACCCTGGGAATCTGGTACTTGGAGTACTATCCATATGACCACCTTCCATTCTCCTAAGTCGCAGTCTTTTGCTGTGAGTTGAAGATAGCACTCATGGCTCTAACCTCATCTTCTGCCATCTCCTAAAATCTCCAAGCCCAGGCCCCACCCAGGATCTGAAGTATATGCCTGCCAGCAAACTTGCTGAAACACATTCTAAACTTGATCCAATCTCTAAATGACTTTATAGGCACCCTAAAATTAGGGAGTCAATGCTCTGTAACTCTGCCTCTGATGAGCAAACTCTTCCCTTGTTTAATGAGAGCCACTGGAGTTGTGCTCTGCAGAGGGGAACAGCTAACTTTCTAGACTGTAAATCTTTTAACCACTGTAGCATAAAAGCAGTCTTGAACAATAAATGTGAATAAATGGGTTCATCATCTCCTCAAAGACAAAGAATCATGATGCCCTGTCTCTCACCCTGATCTGACCACCCACAATTGCTGTAAAACCTGGGCATGTGTTAGTCCTTCCTCAGAGGGTTAAGGACAAAGCAAAGAAATGTTTGGGTCAGTGTTGTCCTTGTGAGTTTCTTTCGTGAATTATTCTCTCTCTCTCTCTCTCTCTCTCTCTCTCTCTCTCTGTGTGTGTGTGTGTGTGTGTGTGTGTGTGGTGTTCCTTTTTGTAATAAGTAGAGTCAGTTTATTGAGAAGGGAGAAAGGCACTCTGGAAGATAGAAGTTGGCTAGTGGGAAAGTAATGTGAACCTCCCAATGACCTATGTTCTCAGCTGGTCTCCCCTCCCCCCGTTTTACTCACATGTGTGCATGCATGTTTCTGTGCACATTTGTACATGGGTGAGCACATTCCAGTCTCAGAAAGCAACTTCATACAGAACCTGTCACTGCTCTGCTCTGGACTGTGGCTGCAATTTGTCTACGCTCGGCAGTGTCGGACCCCACGAGGAGACTCTCAGAGTTTGTTACAGGAGGTTGTGAAGATGAAGCCTGGGCTGCATGTTGAGACCACAAGATGCTGCAATACCTCGGCTATGAAACCTCTGCCATCAAGAGCTGCATACAGGAAGCAGCGTAACCAAAGCTGCAGGGGAAACAAGCCATCTGAGCCCTTTGAAACTGATGTCCCAGTCATCAGAGAAAGGGCTGCAGGACTCGGTGTTTCCCCTGCTGGCTTTTAGTTTTGCTTTGATCCAATCTTTTCCCACTGTGCCCCCCACCCTCTCCTTTAGAATGGCAATGTATGTTCATGATTTCTTTCATAATGGTTCGAAGTGGAATTAGATCCTTCAAGAGTTTCCTATTTCTCCTGACGGTGAATTCAGTTTGTGTCCAAGATCAGTCACATGCTCAGAAACCACTCCCAAACCAGCGTATATTAAACAGCACGGCCGATTGTTCACTCTGATTTGGGCGATCGTAAAAGAGAAAAAGGAGCCTGACAATCCTTGGAAAAGAGCATTCAACAGAATGGCATTACACTGCTCTCCTCTGCACACTGCTGAGACACGGGAGTTAGCTTATTAGTGAGACACAGTTTCCATTTTTCCCTCTCCCTCTTCCTTGGTCAGAATATCTGCTGAATTACTACCGGGTTTAATTTGCAAGTGCACAGGTGGCTAGATTCCATTTCCAAATGCTTGTTTCTTGGTTTTGTTTTGGGTTTTTTTTTTGCTGCTGTTGTTTTCAAGTGCACATTCACATGGGTGGAGTCATATGTGGACCACACACACACATGGGACCAGAGGACAGCTTTTGGAGTCATTTCTCTGTCCTGTCCAGGGCCTGAACTCAGGCCATCAGACCTGTGCATAAGCATGTCAACCCTCTGTGTCATCTCACTGGCCCATGGGTTTGGATTTCTAAAATTACTCAGATCCAAGGATTGCGTAGCTCAGCCACATTTTAATCATTTGTAAACCCCTCTTGACAAACACACTTATGCAGTAAATGGGATATAATACCATCCACAGCCTGCTCCTTGGGACCTAAAAAGAACCCCAGGTCCTTTTCTTCTTTACACCCTGATAAAAACAAAGTTGAAAATGAGATTCTAAATATGCTACTATGGGATACGGGCATGATGGCTAATCTTCACTATCAACTAGACTTGGAATCGCCTGGGAGGCACACTTCCAGGCTTGTCTGTGAAGGTGTCCAGAGAGGTTCCCTGAGGACAGAAGACCCACCCTGAAGGTGATCAGCACCATCTGTTAGGCTGGGGTCTTGGACTGAATAAAAGGGGGAAGAAAAACAAACAGTATGAACACACATCTCTCTCCGCTCCCTGACTGTGGACACAGCGTGATGGCTGTCTTACACTCCTGCCGTCCCAGCTATCACCGCTCCGACCACCGCACTTTCCACGATGGACTGTGAGTCATCATATGAGACAAAGGATTCCCTTATTTTGCTCTCGTCAGGTATTTGCCACGCAACGAGAATTCTGAGGCCATCCTAGAGTCACAGTGTCCACCCTGGGGTTGAGTTCAAACTGACCAAAGAATCCCGTTACCTGCCCTTATGTACACCTGGTGGACCTGCTGCTGCTGTTTCTTCTTAATCCGAGAGTACTGCCGCTTCAGGGCATTGATGTCTGTGGTCATCCGCTCCATCATCATACTGTTGAATGCTGCATGGTATTCACTGCGGCAGGAGTTGATCGCCCCCGGGCTCAGCTCCGCAATGTTGTTGGATCTCAGGCTCTGTTCCTCACTCACTTCTGCACTCGGGGAAGGAACACAGGGTCAGTGGGGAAGACAGAGCAAATGGAAACAGATTACCCACGTCCAGAGTATGGTGCCTTCACTGCCAAGAACTTCTACACCAGGAAACCGCACTCTAGCATTTACCAAGTGCTGGCTTTGATTTGCTTCTGCAGTCCCTAATGAGCTAGAGGCTCACTGATTTTTATGGCCACTTTCTTCATGATGTAGACATAAGGTCAACTACCTCCAGGTAAAAATCAATACCACTTTCTAAAAATTCCACACAGAAATACGGTACCAAGATGTCCTATGACAGTCACTGTGTGACATCCTCACATCTACAAAGGACGTATAAGGGATTAACCATTTGCAGACTTACGAGCATATTTTTATTTTTTTATTTATTTGTTTTTTCTCGAAACGGGGTTTCTCTGTATTGCTTTGAAGCCTGTCCTGGAACTTGCTCTATAGACCAGGCTGGCCTCGAACTCACAGAGATCCACCTGCCTCTGCTTCCTGAGTGCTGGGATTAAAGGTGTGTGCCACCATCGTCCAGCTACAAGCACATTTTTAAAAACAGCACCTTTTAGGAATGTCTGAGACTTTGGATCACTTTGTCACCAGAAGCGAATCCATCTGCCCATTTCACAAGTGTTCTGATTGTCATGGATGTTATGTTTGATATAGTTTCTGACACTGTGACATCTACGGCTAGCAGAACTTTCCCTTTGGCAAAATCAAGATTGTACCCCAAAAAGAGAAACCATTGCTCTGGTGAGCATGTGTACCCATGGGCTGCCTAGATGACCGGAGAGAAAATCAGACTTCCCTAAAGCAATATATGAAAGTGAGTCTGGGAACCAATGGAAGAAAGACAGATTTCAGCTGTGCTAATATCTACTGAGAATGTCTCCAGAGAAAATCTGGGCATCGTGTAGATTTGCTTCATTCATTACTGAAATCACTTCTCTAAGGAAAAGAATTAAAGGAATGGATAATTTGAACAAAATCACTAGGAAGCACTATTATGAGAAAGTGATGACCACTCTAGTCTATAATTGCACAGAAAGAAAAACTGACCATAGGCTAAGACCATAGGTCCAAAACCTTTAGCCCTAGGGTTGGGGGGATGGTTCAGTGGTTAGGAGCTCTTGCTGTGCAATTGTAAGACCAGAGTTCAGATCTTAGAACACATCTATGTAGCTCAGAGACACAAAAGCAGCGGTTACTCCAGCTCCAGGAGATAGACAACCCTCTTCTAACAGCAGCATGTACACAGGCAGGCATTCAACACACGCATATGTACACGGGCATCCACAAACATGTACAGAGGCACTCAAGCAGACACATACACACCTATTAATAAATCTCTAAAATAAAAAGGGCCAATAAAAAGTTACATATCAAAGTAATGACAGATTTTTAAAAAAAGCTCTAACATTAATAATTGAGTCCATGTCTAAAAACCAAAACACTGAAATTCAGACAAGAAAGGGTGTAAAAGGTCTTACAGGAACCAAAGGGAATCTTGTTAGGCTCAGATCTCTGATAGTCATTTTAAAAGATGAGAGAAGAGTATCATGGACATACACACAAGGCAGAGTGAACCTAGCCTTCTTCCCCTCAGTGAAACTTTAACTTTATAAACTTTATTATTTTTTTAAAAATCCCTTGCAAATAAATAAAAACATCCATCACACACCAAAATTAACCAGAACCGAAATCTATACATCTCAGTGAATTCCTATACAGGAACCCAGTGTTCAGGCAGGTTAAAAATCAAAATGAAGCTGGGCGTGTGGCTCAGCTGGTACAGTGCAAATGAACGGGGTTCATGTGGGCAACAAGACAGACAGACAGACACTGCCAGAAGATAAACCATGGAGAAAATGTTTCTATAAAGACTAGGAATGGTGGGAACCAGCCAGAAATCAGTCAGACAATTCCAGAAATAGTAATGATGCCCTGGTTTGAATGAACCAACACTCATGACATGAAGGAAGGACCACGCTTTACCTTTAATCTGCTTTTGGTACTTCTGCAGTTCAGGTGCCAGCAGCCCACTGAAAGGTCCAAGGCACCCCACAGCACTAGCAACAGCATCCTCATCATCTGGGTCATTCTCTTCATCACTATCCTTGGCCTTACCGTGTCGCCTTGGAACATACAGAAAGAAAAATAGAGAAAATACTGACTTTTTTTAAGGAATAGGATTTAAATGGCGTGTGTGTGTGTGTGTGTGTGTGTGTGTGTGTGTGTGTGTGTGTGTGTGTGTGTGTCCCCTTCTGGCCTTTATAAAGACTATGCTAAATCTGCTCACACATCAATTGGTATACCAGTTTCACACTGTTTAAATTACTGAAATTTTAAGTATTTGACAGCTTTAAATAAGTTGCAGGTTTGTTACATTTTTCTTCATTGCCTGGCTCACCCTGTTTGGAAAGCATACTTTGAAAAGCTCTCCTGAGAATCTAAGTCTATAAACCTTTGGGAAACTGTCATTCAGATTTTAAGTACCAAGTTAGTTTGCATATATTGGAGGGCTTAATAAATATCAACTTACAATAACAAATCAAGATATTAAGTCTTCCATCATGTAAACAAAGGGAAGGAAAAAAAAAAAACCACTTACCCAGAAACGGAAGTGGGTTTAACTGTGGCTGGGAATGGTGTAATGTTGTAAGTATACTTTTCCCTCAACTCAGCCAACTGTGGGAAAGGAAAGGGAGCCATCGAATAAACAGTCTGAAAAACAAAAGAAAATTGCCCAGTCTTAAAGGGTGACCTATCCTGTGTTGAAGGTGTTAATGTTCCAACAGGTTGTAGCCAAAGAGACGGATATTACTCCTCATGGGACAACTGGGAGAGACATCTACTATGGAGAAAGACAAGAGAGTAAGGAGGGATGGGAATGTAGCTGAGTCAACAGAGTGTTTGCCTAGCGTGTTCAGTCCCCAGTACCACAAAAACACGGCATGTAAAATAGGGGGAAGAGGGAATCATAGGATCGAAGACAGATCAGGCACCAGAGTGACCTAGAGTGATCTAAAGGTATAACATCAATTGGCAAGCTACAATAGTGGAAGGACCACCTCGAATGCCCATTCCTGATAATGAACTTGATGTCTATAACTATCCGGGAGCCTTCATCCTGGGACTGATGGAAGCAGAGGCAAACACACAACTAAGCACTGAACTGAACCCAAGGAACCCAGTGACAGAGAGAGAGGAGTGATGAGCAAATTGGCAAAGTGAATGGGCCGGGCAAACCAGCAGAGACGGCTGACTGAACAGGGAGTGCTTGGACCCCAGACTACAGCAGAGCAATGGGAGACTGACCTAATCCCGGGAATGAGTGTCAGTGGAGAAGGCCCAAGCTGTGGATCAGTGTCTATCCTGATAATAATCTGTCTTTCATGTGCTCTCAGGCAAGAGAGATGCTTTGTGCTCTAGAATTCCTAGGAGGCCTTGACCCTACCAAGAGTGAAATGATAGACTCTAGACATCCCCTATGTAGGGAGGATCACAAGAGGGTGAGAAGAGGTGCATGGCTGAGAGGGAGGGAGGACCTAGAAATTAGAAGATGGGAAATGTGCCAGCTAAAATTAAAATAAAAAATGATTAAAAAAAAAAAAAAAAAAAAAAAAAAAAAAAAAAAGATACGGAAAATAAGCCTACAATCCTATGGCCAGAGAGTCTGGGAAACAGAAACTTCCATTTAGTGGCTGATCGAAGAAGAGGCAGACTCCCTTTGGTTAAGTACTGGAGCTGAACTCAAGAAAGCCAGTAACAGAGAGGAGGACTGATGATCAAAGGACAAGACTGGGCTGGTTTAACCCCCAGAAACATGACCAGACAAAGGTTACTAATGCCTGTAATCCCAACACCCGGGAGGGAAAGACAAGCGGGGTAGGTCATCCTTAGCTAAGTAGTGCATTTGAGGCCAGACTAGGCCATGTGAGATTCCATCTAAACAAAATGAAGCAGGTAGTGCAGATTAGGTATCATCTCTAAGCCTTGATGCAAAGTCTGAGACATTTAGATCACCAACATTGTACCGAAAAAAAGTCCACATCTGACCCATGTAATGGGTCACAGACAAAATAGGGATACACTCATAATATGGTATAATACTACCTTCAGATACAAGTATGAAGATCATATAACATAAAAGTAAATTTTATGATATCTTCTTTAATTTCTTTAAATACTTGATGTTCCTGTCATACAGGTCTTCCACTTGTTTGGAAACATCTCCCATGCTCTTGGATAGGTAGGATCAACATAGTAAAAATGGCAATCTTGCCAAAAGCAATCTACAGATTCAATGCGATCTCCATCAAAATCTCAGCACAACTCTTCACAGACCTTGAAAGAACAATACTCAACTTTATATGGAAAAACAAAAAGCCCAGGATAGCCAAAACAATCCCATATAATACAGGAACTTCCGGAGGCATCACCATCCCTGACTTCAAGCTCTACTATAGAGCTATAGTACTGAAAACACCAGAATTTCAAACTGCATATCTTCCTATTAGCATAAAGACAAGAATCCTTCTGACTCTCTTACTCTTACATTTTAATTGCTCCACACTCACTAATTCAGGCCTTCGGTTTTCACTCATCAGCAAATGCATTTCATTTCTTCACAGAAGCCAATCAAATACCCTGATGAGGGGTTGAAAAATGACTAAGCAGTTAAGGGTACTTACAGCTCCTGCAAGGACTAGGGCTCGAAACAGTCTGTAACTCCAGTTCCCAGGGGATCCAACACCATCTTTTGTCCTTTGTGGACCCCAGGCATGCACGCAGTAAACATACTTTCAAATAGGTGAAACACTCATGAATATTGTTAGCATTCAGGCATCTGTACCGGCCTGCCCTTGGGGTTCTAACAGGACACACCTTCAGCTGCTGCCACTAAGAGCACCACCTGTGCACATTCACTACATTCCCTTTTAAAAGGGCCCTGCCCACCTCCTCCCCTCTTCTCTCCCTCCCTTCCCCTCTTGCCTTTCTCCTCTCTTCTGCCACTCCTGTCCCAGAGTCCAGTCTTCCCCCTTCCCTTTCCCCTTTTTATGATCCTTTTCCCAAAAAATAAAAAAATAAAAAATAAAACCCTCTGCTTGAACCCTGTCACATGGTGGCTTTCTCTCAAACTCCACTTTTCTTAAATTGCAACAAATATAAAATAAAAATAAACCTTTTAAGCTATACACGCTGATTATTCTTTTCTAGGAAAAACATTTGAAGTGGTTTTTGCATTTCAGCAAGACTGTTTCTCGGGAGCCGAGCTGCTGCATGGGCAGGAAGGGGGTGATCTGAATGAAATGTGACTGGTGCCACTGGCTCACTCTGTAGTTTGGTGATGTTGCTGAGACAATTGGCTGCAATAATTTTGACGCACCTGTCCTTCTGACTGTCCCCAAACTTCGTATCATCCACCTCTATGCTTTATATACCAATTTAAGATTCCAAACACGCATTGGCTAGAATCCCTTCCCTTCGGTGGTTTCTACAAAGCTGCACAGCCTGCAGACAGCACCACCATTGTTGATTATCCACAAGGCTGAGACACAGCCTAAACTTAGCAACACTACACAACTCTTTCCACACCCTCAGAAGAAACAGAAGGCTCCTCGTGGCTCCCGTTAGCGTGAAGTGTGAGATGACATCAGTTCCCAGCCTCTTTGGGCTTCTCCTTGCCTCCTCTGAAAAATGCAGAGTGTGGAGGTCAGGATGACAACCCCCTCTAGCAGGAAGGGGGAGTTAAAGTCAGGAAGAAGTGCATGAGGTGTGCGTGTGAGTGTCAACACTTAGATTCTTAACCTGCGTCACATCTGTGTAGATTTTTTTATACTAAGTTTAACACACACTATGTGCCTAAGTGCTTCATATAATTGCATTAGGAGTGAATTCTCATGTTTGATTTCACAAACATAGCCACCAGCTGGCTCATACCCAGTGCAGGATTCTCTCTCTGCGCCACACAGCCTTTTGAAGGGATGCAGGCTGGCGCAGTCCTATTCTTGGCACCCTAACTTTGGACCCAAGGAAGTACTTCCTCTTAGATGTCAGTCAGAAGGAATGGAGTCAACTGTGTCTGACCACCACACACACCAAATGTCATCCCAAAACTGAGCCAAGAATCACCTTACCCTGTTAGTCCTGTGAATTTTTGCCTTGATTTAAGCAATTAAGAAATTCACATCATTTATATTTTGTTTTAAAAAATTAACCTCCCCTCAAAAAAATGTGATTACCTTCACTGGGAATTTCAAAATTGCTTAGGAATTAATCTAGATGTCTCAGTAAAGACTAGACACTGGGGCACTGGCTGAAGAGTCACTGGTGTTTTACTTTAGCCAGTTACATAGCAGGAAATTGGAGTCCCCTAATGTAGCCTTCGGAGGATGCTTATAAGGGGGGATGAGCAGTAGCCACTTCATGCCCCTAGTCTCATGCCATCCTGCCTGGGGCAGATGGCTAGGCTCCAGCCATCAGAGCCACTCAGGTGGAAACACCCGATCAAAAGGAAAGGACTCTGCTTGGCTTGGGGTTCCCCTTGCACCCCCCTTCCTCTGCTGTTTGTGGTTAGTGCCTTGAAGCAGTCACAGTGCCCTAAAGCAAGCTCAACCACAATCCCTCTTCACATGGGTGGACATGCTTGTGTTTGTGATGGTCTCACATGTCTGAAAGCACATTCATCCTACAAGTGTGAGCATCTGGGCACATCACTTGATACATGGAAAGCTCTAGGTGTCCAACTTATAGACTAGAGATTTACAAGAAATTCCAAGTAAGGTTTTTTTAGTAGGTCTCCCAGAGTCCACACGCAGTGCATTAATATAACCTTAGAGTTGGAAAGGAATTTAAACATAATTTAACTCAATGCCCCTCCTGTTTCCACAGGAGCCTCTCTGGAGCATTACCAACAGATGGCCTCGGAGGCGCTACCTAAACACTTCAGTTACGGGCACACACTACTGTGTGGGGCAGATGGCTTCAATATTTGGCACAGCTAATTAATCAAATGTTATCCTTCTATTGAACAAGCATCAACATCCTTGACATTCCCAATCCCTGGCTGATGGGGAAAGGGAACAGTGTGAGTCCAAGGGCAGATCCTGCCCCACATATGTGACAGCTGCCTCCGGATTACAGTTTGCCATTCCCAAACAAAATGAGGGTTTCAAAACACCTACAACCCTTCTAATAATCCTCCCTACATTGTCCTCAAGAAATTTGCCCAGAGATATTGTCCAAAATCTACTGTAATCCAGATGCATTGTGTCATTAGCTTTTCGCAATTCCCCAGTCTAATACTATCAATTAAAGAAGATCAGAAGGGATGGTAAGATACCTCTGCTGGTAAAAGTGGGTACCACTAAGTCTGCTGACCTGAGTTCAATCCTCAGGACCCACACGGCGGAAGGAGAGAACTTACTCTGGAATGTGCACCATGGCATGTATATACCAGCAAACACACACACACACAAGTAAATACATAAACACATACATAATAAAGTTTTTAAATATACAAGCGGCTGATGAAAAATCAATGGACTGTCATGTCATCTATGCAGGGAGAAAAGGTGCAGGCAGTGTTATTAGTTTGTGTACCAGGTTTAGAAAGGACTAGGGAAGGTCCAAATGGGACAATCCCTGCATCCTCTTCAGCTCAAAAATAAAAACCTTATATTCAGTTCACATTATTTCACATGGAGCTATTTCAAGTTTGCTGACAAATTTACGGTTCACTATAGCTGGATCAACCACTGATTTCTTTTAAGAAAATAAAGAAAAGAAAGTTGGCTCAAAATGGCATTTGCCATTTCTGTCTCTAACATTCCTTCATGCCAAGGAATACCGTCAAGTTTACTCTCTGAACTACTAGCGTGCATTTAAATAGGCATTTATATTTAGGCCCTGTTGAAAAGGAATTATGCTTCCTTTTGCATTGTTGATGCATTCTATGGGAAACATAGAAACATAATGTATAAAACAGGAGAAGTGCTTGCTGCGGATGTGAATCTCGCAGACTATCCAGAGCCTAGGGTGCTCCCTCTAAGCTCTCAGAAGACAGAGGTAAAAAGCCATCCTCTCCCCTAATGCCTAATTAGAAATTCGGCTCCAGCACAGCTTCCATTTCTCCCGGCAACACTTAAACTCTCGGTGAACTGATGTGTGGCTTATTCTTCTAATAATGATTTCGTTTTAACAAAGACATCTTTGGAATAAGGCGCTGCAGCTGTCAAGAAATGCATTAACTGGGCCAGGAGTTGGGACATGGGTCTCAGTCGTGGGCCTACTACTAAACAAAAAGAAACTGGCAAACAGTTTACATTCCTGGTTCCCTCTCTAGGAATTAGCGTACTTAGGTAAGTTGTGATCTGTAAGCTCCTTCTAAGCCATGTTATTCTAAATGGTCTAATACCCGCCTGCATTAGAAGGACCGACATTTGCACTGAATACACTTCCGAGACGTTTTTTACACACTCTCTTTGAAAGCAGTCACCTCCCGACTCAGCATTCTATGATTCTGTGTCTCCACTAAGGAACCAGTTACGTGTTTAGCACTCCACTGGGTGCTACAGAGAATGCAACATGAAGCCCTTTCATTAAAGGACCGAGATCTTCCTTAGGAGGTTCACACACTTCACAAAATAGCAAACAATACCAAATGATCTGCAAGTAGCGTGCAACCGACTGTCAAACATCTTCCATACCAAAGATGTACCCGAGGAGGGCTGAGGTACCGGAGGAGAGATGGGCAACAACACAGGCGGGTGACTAAGAGCTGTCCCGAGTGGACCATCAGCAGGGAATGGTCTGCGGATGCCTGGGCAAGGACAGGGCTGGAGCTGGAGTGGAGCTCCAGCCGGGAGGCGGTGTGGAGGACCACAGGCAGGGCACAGGGAGCCGAAGCACCCCTCCAGGCACCCCGTCTGGAAACAAGCCACCGTCCTCCCTCGTAAATGCTACTGTCTTGTAAGCCAGAAACTGTGGGCTGCCCGAGCTTCCCCCACCTCCCCCAGCCCTATACCTGTGCAGAGCCTCATCCAGTCAATGCCACTGTGCACGTACCGTCTCTGTCCTCACCCTCCACTGCCTCCTTCACAGCCTGTCCTGTTAATTCCAGCTTCACAGACCTTTCTGTGTAGCTGACAGGAAGCACAACTTGGGCCATCTTCCTCCTGCTCTTAAAGGTCTTCCGGATCTACAGCTCCTGTTTCTCCCTCAGTGAAGGATCCAAAGAGACCCTACAACTGCGGTGAGTACAAACACTGACCTACAGACCGAGCTGGCCTCCTGGCCACTCCCAGTGCCTGAAGAGCAAACCCTTGCAGTGTCCCTCTCCTGCCAGGCATCCTCCAGCATCATCCTGCGTGCCTGCCTGCTGCTCCCTTGGCCACTGCTAAGATTTACAGTGATGTGTCTGGTTTTCAGGTGGATGAGGGGTGGATCTGTCAATCTTAACTGTCAACTTGACTAGATTCAGACTCACCTAGGAAACACACCTCTAGACACTGGGGAAGGAGGTCCACCCTGAATATAAGCACCATGCATGGGCTGGCATTTGAAACTGAATAAAAAGGGAAATCCAGGAGCCCTCCCCTCTTCTCTGCTTCCTGGCCCTCCCAGATGTGAGAAATTCCAGCTTTGTTTTCCTGATCACACAACTCTGCTGTGCCTGCCCTCATACCTGCTATGCCTGCACTTCCACGATGGACTGTATCCATATAAACTAAATCAAACTTTGTCTTAAGTTGCTTTTTGTCCTATTTGTGACAGTGACGGGAAAAGCAACCAACAGAGCCACCAATGGCCTGTTGTCTCTGCACTGGTGGCTCCAACACACACTGTCCTAGTTTGTGTCTCTGTTGCTGTGATAAACATCATAACCAAACCCAGCCCAGGGGGAAAGGACTGATTTCACCATACAAGGTCATGGTCCTTTGATGAGAGAAGTCGGGGTAGGAACTCAAACAGAAACCTAGAGGCAAGAACCAAGGCAGAGACCATGGAGGAACACTGCTTACTGATTTGTTCAGCTTACACTTTTATAGAACCCGGAACCACCCAGTCACGAGTGGCACCACCCACAGTGGGCAGAGCCCTTCTACATCAATCATCAATCAAGAAAAGTGCCCCACAGAATTGCCTACATGCCAATCTGATGGAAGTTTTCTCAGTTGAGGTCCCCTCTCGCCAGATGACCCTTGCTTGTGTCAAGTTGACAAAACACACACACAGATGTGCTGTGACATGTGTGCAACCCCAACATACAAGCACAGGACTAGACAACTCCTATTCATCTTTAAAGGCAAAACCAGACATTAATTTCCTCATGGAAGCACCCTCTAACTCATCTACTTCCCTGTAATCCCTTGGGACCCTGGGAATTAATTTTCCTTCTCCTCAGTCCCATACACACCTCTCAATGAGCAACCCCAACCTCCTCTTCCCATATGTATCTCCAATCTCTAATCCAGGACCTAACTTTTGGGGCCAGTCAATGTTGGAGAATTGGACAATATAACAACGAAGCAACCAAAGCCAGAGGATCCCTCCCCGGCAGTAAAATGCTGACTGCATCAGAGCTGCAAGACGAGAGGAGGGCCATCCTCTAGTAGTTTTATTTGACTCAGCAAATGCTGACTGAACAAGAAAAGGCAGAAAACAAACTATGGATTCTCAATAAAGGTTTGCTTCAGGAATTAATAGGCTTCCTGAGCAAATTTTCATCTCAAGAACAAACAGCTAAGCACAAGGCCCCATCCTCAAGGAACTTGCAACGTTGCAGAGGAAATAAGATGCAGTCTTCTGACTCGGAAAAAAATGAGGTCAAAGCTCCCGGGAGAGGCATACAGGAGAGCATGAAATGGACACTTCTAGTTTAGATGATGAGAGAAACTTCATGAAGGGCAGAGACTTCCTGAAGGAAGACATCCGAGGTCAGGAGAAGCAAGATCGAGCAGGAAGGGTAGCGGTCTGAAGGTGGGGTGTTTCCAGCACTGGTCCAAGCATGGAGAACAATCTGATCCGACATGAAAATGATAGGCTATAAACGGGATGAACAGGCGCTCTGCCTGAAGGGGAGAGTCAGCTCATGGGATGACTACTCTGTGCTGTTCCGTGGGCTGGGAGGAGCCCTGGGCACTTCACAGGGGAGAAAAAGGGCTTGCCTCTCTCCAAACCCTGCTTTGAGCCCATGGTTCTAGCAGTTTTATAGGACTTCAAGGATTTCATGCATGGAAAATGCCAGGCGTGGATCTGGGCCACACACAGAACGATGCTCAGTAAAAGATGCCTCCTTCTCGGAGAGAAGAGCAGCGACCAGGATACACAAGAAAGGCTAGAAACAGAGCCCAGCCATTGGGAGTCAGGCAGAACATTTCCCCTCTTGATGCAGGAAGAAAGAAGGGTGAGATTCAGCAGAGTACCGAGATCCAAATACTGATGCCCAGGGAAGTCATATCAGACTGTGAGTGCTCCCAGTAAATCAAATGGGCTCAGCTAGGAGCAAGAGTTACTGAGGAGGAGATGTGAGGAGAGGAATGATGCTTGTTTATCCACTCCTACATCAGTGCCTGAGTCTTTAGTCTGTTGGCTGAACTCCAGCACCCAAAGACGACCATAGACAGGAAACCCAACATGAATATGACAACAAGAGAAAGAAGAGAAAGCAGATCCCGAGGACAGCTTTGGATATAACCCACAACTGACCAGGACAAGAGGGGGAGACAGAAAGATTAGGCGGGACCCACGCTACCACATGGCAATGAGGATAAAATGATGTCCCAGAACCTAACAGGAAAACATGCCAGGAAAATAACCAAACCCTCAAGTCTCTCAAACATACAATTCACACATAATACCACTAGCTGAACATAAACCGAGATGCAGACTGATCTCCATTTCACACACAGTAACTCCCTCCTCCTCGTAAACACATCACCCATAAGTCCCTTTACCAGGTCTCAGAAGTCCAGCCAGCAAGGTGAGGGAGCAGGAAGAGGGCTTGCCGCACAGTCTGACAAGCTTGGAACACTCAGTGGAAGGAGAGAAACCCCCCTTGAGGGTTGCCCTCTGACCTCCACAAGCATGCCACGGTACATGTATGCACATGCCTGCACTCACACACATCACAAAATAATAAAGGCTTCTTTAACCTCAGAGTCAGATTCACAATAAACAGCCGATGGTTTTGCTTTTCCCCGGTTTGTTTTCTTAACTTATACCTAAGCATGTCTAAGGAAAAATATCCATTCATTTCTTCCTTCCTCTTGGGACAAAAATTTGTATCAAACTATAGATTCTTGGTCAATGGAAAAACTAAGTTAGAGGACTGACCCAATACAGTTCCCCAAGGCTGGGGTTCAAAATAACATTATCAGTCATTCCCTTGGTCTTGGGGTCCCCAAGCCCACACTGCCCACACTGCCCTACTGCCCACAGTGCCCATACTACCTATACTGCCCAGAGTACCCATATTGTCCACACTGCCTATCCTGCCTATACTGCCCACACTGCCCACAGTACCCACAATGCCCACAGTGCCCATATTATCTACACTTCCCAGAGTACCCACACTGCCTATCCTGCACAGAATGCCCACACTGCCCAGAATGCCCACACTGCCTATCCTGCCCACACTGCCCACTCACCTGCATGAGTTCATGGCTCTGCAGGAGGTCGTTCTCCAACATCTCCTGGGTGAGACGTCCCATGGTGCTGTAGAACTCATCTGCTGTTTCACAGCACTCTATCTGCCTAGTTTTAAAAACGAAGCACAGAAAAGGGACTCAACCAGGGCATTCATGCTTAATCACAGAGCCAAGACCACACGCTACCTCCCTTATCATCGAGTTGGTCAACAGAAGTACGAAGTCTTGCCACACTCTTGCAATGTAGTCTGCTGTGGAGGAAAAAGCAGACCACCCGGGGAGAGGTGGCCATGCGTACCCACCATACCAACTACTAGGAAGGCTGGCTCGGGAGGGTCACTTGAGCCCAAGAGTTCAAGATCAGCCTTGGAAACACAGCAAGACCTCATTTAAAAACAGAAGGAGGAGGAGAAGATGAAACAAACACCAAAAGTAATTTTGAGGGAGCCATTATAGAGTGAGTTCCCATCCTCTCTGCACAGCTCCCTGAGCCTCACAGCCCCATAGAGTGTCTTTATTCTTCCCCATGTGACACATTGTATACATCAGAATACACACCAGTGGCCAGAAATCAGAACCACGAAATTGGGAACCGAAAAGCAATCATCCCCTGTAGAAAACTCTAATCCGCAGGGACAGCATGAATAGGCTGAATCCAAGGTCGAGTTAAAGGGCACAGGAACTTTACATCAGTCTACAGACTCTTTTCACCGGCCTCACCAAATTCTTTTCGGGGAAGTGGCCGTCACCTCGGAAACTATGAGACTGTGAGATTTTAACCTGTCTTCTAAAGAGAAGGAAAGGGAATAACACGGGACAGTGGGCTCCAGGCGCCTCTGGTTTCTCCATTACAAAGGTTTTTGCATGGTAGGATAATTCTATTTGCCCGCTAACCACAAGGCATGTTTTGGCAGGTACGGTCGAAGGTAGAGAGCTGCAGATCCCAGTGGTCCCATCCACCTTTGAAGCCTCTCCAGGACGCAAGCAGCCCAGGGGGGCTTAATAGGGAGTCATGGAAGAGCCACGCCCTTGGCAAGGCTGGCCTCGGGGTGGCTCAGCATGTTGGGCACAATTAGCAGGACCGAGGAGGACATATGCCAAGTGTGAGGTGACGAGTGTGCCAATACCGGAAGCCACAAGAGAAAGGCAGACAAAGAGATGCTGTAACGGTGAGGTGGCGGAGAATCCAAAATGGTTCTGCTACACGGAAGGAATCCCAGGCAAAGAGAGGGGCCCCTCAGATGGCAATAGGAGGCACAAGTTTTACCTAGTTGTTCACAGACCTGAGGTCACCTACACACCTTGGATGTTTCCCCACATCTGTGGGGAAGCTGAAAGCTTCAGGCTCAAGTCCCAGCCCCGTTCCCTCGTTAGCTCGAAACTGTGAGTGAGTTAATTAACCTTCCCGGGATGATTTTCTCACTTGAAAAGGCAGGGAGGAATAATCTCCCCCGCTCTGCAGGGTTATTGAGAGAACCAAATGAGATAATATACTCAAGCTGCCTACTCTAATGATAGCACTGTCAGCACTGGATGGATGTTGGTGGCCTTCCCTTGCTCCTCACAAAGCCACAAGCTGAAAATATGTGTAATTATCACAAGCAAAACCCCTAGAATGTTTACAATTCATAAACAGGAGCCATTGCTGAGCGTGGGGATTTTCATAATGAAAAGCACAAATTCTAGAGCTGGGATGCCTTGTTCAAAACTGCAGCTCCCACTTGCTAAATGGGTGAGTTCAGCCAATCCATTAGACTCTGCGCCTTGGTTCTTCACTGTAAAGTGAAGGTGGGCCAGAGAGGTGGCTCAGCAATTAAAGCTGCTTGCTGAGTTCAGCCCCCAGCACCCTCTTCCAACCTCCCTAAGCATCTGCACACACACACACACACACACACGCACACGCACACGCACACGCACACACACACACACAGGCACACGCACACACAGGCACATGCACACACAGGCACATGCACACACACATACACATATGCAAACATGTACTCATGCAGATGCACACACATACATATGCAATCATGCACTTCGCACATAAACATACACACAAGCACATGCACACACATAAGCAAACATGCACTCATGCGCGCACACACACATATACGACATACTCCTACACACACATAAATAAATATTAAAACAAAGATGGTAAAATAACAAACCGTGCAGGATGATGGAAAAGCATTAATGAATGAGCTAACACACACAGAGCTCTTGGAAGACCGTACACTGTGAGCACTCCGTGAGTGCTGCACTTATGATTTCTCCAGTGACAATCCTACCGTCACCCAGGGGTAAATTCTGATGTGGCAGAAAGTGAGTAGAGGGGAGCAGTAGACTCACCCCTTTGCTCCTGCCTCATTGCTGGGGACTAACAGCAAGGGATCAGCACTGGCCCATCACACAGTACAGTATAGCCCTCTCCTACCTGAGTGCTCTGGACCATCGCCTAGGAATGGGCCAGCATGCTCAGAAAGCTTACAGTGCAGAGTGGCTGGAGTACAGAAAGAAAGTATACTGGGGGAAGTGAAAAGATAAGTAAAGGCACAGCAAAACTCACAGAGGTGAATCTGCGACTTGTCTGGAAATCATTATACAATAAAATAAAGACAAAAGCAGGCAGCTATGTGATGCTTACAAATACAGGCATTAATGATGTTTTCAAACCCCTGAATTGATAGTTCCTGGATCTTTCCTTGTAAAAAAAATCTTTCCAGAAACAAGTTATAAATAAGAAAGCTAGCTAAAAACTTTCAAAACAGAGCGGGCAAGATGGCTCAGTGGGTGAAGGGGCTTGCTGCCAAGCCTTAGCAACCTGAGCTCCATCCTCAGAATCCAAATGGTACAAGAAGAGAACCAACTCCTGGAAGTTGCCTTCCGAGCAACACACATGCCCCGGCACCATGCACATAGACACATAAATAAGTGTAATTTTAAAAAAGCATTTAACCAAAACACTGGCGGTGGTCTATTAGTTTTCTGACATGTTGTCACAGATGCCTACTAAAGTCATTCTCTGGAAATCTCTCTCCTCCTGAAGTTGGCAATAAATGAGCAGAGACCACCATCTTTCTCGCTACTAGGAAGGGTAAGTGAAGTCTGGTTGGTGGTATGCTCTGGCAGAAGCAGATTTGAACGTCTAAGTAGTTCTCATGGGTGGAGGTGAAGCACATGGTATAGTACTACTCACTATACTAGCACAGACACACCTCCTCCTGACTATACAGGCACAGGCACAGCTTCTCCTACTCACTGGACAAGCACAAATGTACCTCCTACCGACTGTAGCAAGCACAGGTACATTTTGTGCAGGAAATCTCAGTTAATTTGATCACAGCTCCAAAGGCAGAACAAAATAAATAACAAAAATTCATGAATAATCCAGGAGCCAGGTGTAGTGATGAGCACCTATGATCCTAGCACTTGGGAGGTAGAGCCTGGGGGATTAAGAGTGGAAGGTCATTCTCTACTTCATAGTGAGTGGAGGCCAGCCTATGCTAGATAAAAACTCTGTCTCAAAAAAAAAGAAAGAAAGAATCCCAACTGTGACATGTACCAGCAAGTCTGCCTATTTCTTTCCAGATACAGCAGTTTCTTCTCTAGGTGTGTCAGTTTCCTCTTCCACGGGCTTGGGTGGAAAGCCTCTGAGGATGGTCAGATACTGTGAGGAGGATCTGGAGGAAGCCTGCCATCCCTGACTAGATTCTGTTTCTCCCAGAGAAACCAAGGAGCCAGCTGAGGTTCCCAGAGCTGAGGTTCCCAGAGCTGAGGTTCCCAGAGCTGAGGTTCCCATAGGCTAACACAATTCACAGCAGCTCACAGCTTTGTCCTTCTCACACATGATATGCCAGTGCTCTACACCGAAGAGCCCAAAGATGGCTAACACCAAAGTGCAGCTAACACTTACTCTCCCAGTTTTGCCCAGATGGCCAGCGACACCCTCAGGATGATCTCTGAACCTTCAAAGAAGACCGAGTCCCAGATCTTCAAAACCGTGTGGTTAGGGAGGCAGGTGGCGAAGAGCGTGAGAAACCACTGCATTGTGAAGACGTTGGTGAGCGGGGGCTCATATCCACCTGGAGCGAAACAAGGCAGAAGTCCTCCAGAATGTTGAGATGGTGGTTAAAGGAAGTCCGCGGACACCCAAACACAGAATAACAGGTCTTTATTTGGGGAGCACTCAAACGATGGTAAACAACCGCTTTGGTCTTTTGCCCCTGCAGGTTCAGCGTCGGCAATGCAGGATGTTCAGGCCACAACCCAAGAGAGAGCCCAAGTGAAACCCTACTCTTCCTTATAAGGGGCCACATCCTCACACCGAAACCACACCCTAAAGCCCTTACCCCAAGTCTCTTGGCAGAACAAGATGCCACATTTCCCCTTTTTGTCTAAATAAGGGGGTTTTAAACCTGATATAAGCACTATATACAATGATAACAAATGTCAAGTCTAGCCCAGGAGAAGGAAAGATAAAAACATACACAATTTTAGACCTACAACCAGCAAGAGTAACATTAAGCAAGAAACACATAACAAGGGTAACAGCATAGAACAGAGATTACTCCACTAGCTTTCGCATTTCTTCCACACCTACTCAAATAGCGCTGCCTCCCGGCTGCTTTTGTCAAATTCATTAACAATTCTTCCTTCCTTTTTCCCCTCGTGTTTCCAGAAGAAACATTTCTAACAGAAAACTCCACGAAGACTTGAGTGTCATAAATTCTTCACCATACTTCAGAAACTTTTGCCTGAACTAAATCTGGGTCTACTTACTGAAATCTTCTTAGAGTTGAGGAGGAAGTTCTCCTCACCAAAGCATTGTGAAAACAACCAATTGCATCTCCTCAAAAACAAACACCAGGACTGGATGTAGAACAGTGACCTAGTGCTCACCTGGCACCTCAGAGACCCGGGTTCAAACCCCACCACCACCCAAATGAAAAACAGACAAAAATGACAGCAGACTTTCAAAATCTTATAGTTCCTACTTTAACTCAAATGCAGCTATCATTACTAAAATTATTTAATAAACTACTTAATCCCTTAAATTACAGAATTCCCTTATCACAATTGAAATAAAAAAATAACCTGGAAAAGTTCCAGAATATTCAGATGTTAAACAACTTTAAGATATTTTGAACTAAGTGGTACACAATTTTAAGGACAGCCCTAAAGTCCAGTCCATTTTGAACTTTCTGAATTCACTAAAAGCATACCACTCCGTCCCACTTCGAGTGACTACAATTTGTCTATTAAATTTTTAGATGGATGCTTCCAGTGGCTGTCAATAATACAACTTTCTAAAGACAAGTAAAAACAAAACAAAGACATTTTCTTCTCTCCTTGGACAAATAAATTTTTGTGCAGAGACTAGACTCTGAGGTAAGTGCTTGTGATCAGGAACCAAGGCACTCAAGGAAAAACATGTATTCCACTGGCTTGAGTCTGCCACTACCATGAAAATACGATTAAAGTACCACCAAGCCACACAAGAACATCATTAGACACACTCGACTGTCTCAAAAACCTCCAGTGTATTTTAACAACACTAGATCTTCAAAACCTGTTAATATATTATTTCATTTCACCTCCCTTTTTATTTTCTGGTGGTGGTGGAACAAGGGATCAAACCGAGGGCCTTGACACATACTAGATAAGCACCGTCACTGAGCTGCAACCCCAGTCCTGTGTTCCCAGCTTTAAACGATGCGGTGCGGTCCGCCACAGTAACTGGCCATCGCAGACAGTCTGACTATCCTTCCTGGTGCTCAGAGCGGACGCGGTTGCAGAAGTGGCCCATGTAGGCACATTACAGCTAGGAGGAGCCAGTGACCCCCGAGGCACTCATCTATAACCTTATTGCTTCTGCCAGTCACGGCCTGTGACAAACTGCCCTGCACCTGTAGCTCAGTTTTAACAAAGTTCTACCGGTGCCAGTTTAGTTTAGCTGACTAGGAAAGCACATGCACCAGTCTCCCATAGAGTTCAACAGACTCCATTAGTTGATGATCTGGAACCAGCGCAGGGTTAGGCTCTCACCCAACCACCTGCCCATGCCCACTCGAAGTTTCGGCGCATGGTCCCACGTATTTTCAGTTCTGTAACTGTTATATGGGAATGGAAGTATTTGATGACACTGCAGTCTCTAAACAGAAATACCTGGCAACCTGTGCTTTCACCCAGAACTTAAACTCATACGTAGAGCGGAAGCGGACTAGCCAAATACTTCCAGAGCTATAACAGCCGCCAGCCATCCTTACCTCCGCTCTCTTTGTTTGCCGTTCTCTGAAGGGCATCGAGGTGCTGAGACAGCTCGGGGAGTTTCATCCTCAAGAGGTCTCTGAAGACAGCCATATCCACAGACAGTGCCCGAAGGTTATTGACAAAGTAGCTCTCAGGAAGTACCTTATCAATCAGGTAAATCATAATCTATAAAAAAAAAGAAGATAAAAAGATTGCTTCATACCCACCAGGATCCCAACACACCTAGAAGAAAAAGCACATCCAAATAGACAAAAGCTGCTAACCAAAGCACACATTCCTCCCAATGCGTCAGAAACCAATTCAGGACTCACCTACACCCGCTACAAGGAGCGGGCGGCATAATTAGCTAAGTAACCCAAAGTCAGCTGTGCTGCGAGGTTTCTAGAAGGACTGCCAGACCTGAGTTCACCCCATCTGTAGCTGTGATTACACAACCCTCGGCCTCATAGAGAAATGGGAACACTCAAGCTCTCTGTGTTCGGAAGGATCCTCGACCCTGGCTCCTTGATGCCATCAGTTTTACAACCTGGATACAAAATCCCAAGAGCAGGCCTGTCATAAAACACCCACACTAAGAACACAGGCCTCATAGTTGCCTGGGCTATCAGAAAAACAAAGATCCAAGCCGCAGCTGGCTCTGTATGCTAGTGGGGAAATCCCTGTCTTACAAGATCCCACAAAACCCATTTTCAAAAAAAGAAGTTACCTTTTAGTCCTGCCAAGGGCCCATTTTTTTTCCCCACTTGTGGTTTGCAACTTCTTTATCAGGTCTTAGCTCTGTATGCCAGGGCAGACTCCTGAGAAACCCCTTTGCTGCCATCCATATGGGATGGACAGGCCCAAGGAGTCATAGCTTTGTTATATTAGGATGGGATTTACCAAGTAAACAGATCACCTTAGAGGAAGAAGCTCAGCGACATGGAGGAAAAAAGAGTCCACCCAGTCCCTGCGGAGGGAGGATCGGCATAGGGAGGACTAGCGTGGGAGGAGGGAATGGAGTCAGAGCACAGAAGAGCAGATTCCCAGTAGAGCAGAGGGCTGTGGCCAGCATGGGTCATCAAAAGATCAGGCGATAGAACAATGGAGGCCAACTTAAAGGTCATAATCTGCACACGGCTACACTTCTCACCTGTTATATGGTACTGAGAAAACATATGCATTCATTTATGGTGCTGAGGACCTAACCCATATACAAGGCAATATGGAAATCCCAAGAGCTGGCCAGTCACCTAGAGGTGCACTCACTGCCACCTGGGCTACCCAAGGCCCACATGCTTGGCCTCTCATATTCCAGGCAGTCAGCTTTACTCTGGAGCTGTGGCCCAACCCTAACCCATTAGTAGTAAGAAACTATGACCTCTTCAAAGCTACCAAAGACTCTTCAGTTGTGCTGGTAACTCTGTGCATATGCATGTGTGATGGGGCATGCGCATGTTTACATGTGTGCAAGCACACGTGAAGGCCGAGGATGACACCGGGCACCTTCTTCTGTCGCCCTGCACATCATACATTGAGGCAGAGTAACTAGTCTGGCTAGCTTGTTTGCCTGTGACATGCAGGAGCGACAGGCAGGCCACCACGTCCGTCCAACTCTCGCGTGAATTCTGGGGGTCTGAACTGCTGTACCCACATCGTCACTTTGTTTCCTGACCGCTGAGCCATCTCTCTGGCCCCCATTGTGCTAGTCACTCTACGACACAATAAGAGATGATGTTAGACCGAGGATTTTATTGGGAGTCTCCTATGACTCACTCTCCCAATGACTGGATTCCAAACACCAAGTATTTCACCATAGATTTAGATGAGGAAGAAGAAACGGGAGCGCTTGCAATTTTTAACAAACTCTTTTAACAAAACAGCTACAAGGGAAAAGCTCTGTAATTGCTGAGGAAGAGGAAAAGTGCCTGGCTTGTTTTTATGGATTCCCCCGAGTCATTTATCTTGCAGAGGCTAAAACAGCTGCTGGAAAAACACAGCCCTTCAGTATGTAATTCCCTGAACATCAGGTAGGTCCCCTCATGAACCTCACCTTCCTCTACCAAGGTCCACACATGGCATCTCACGGTGTCCTCCAAACTCATTTTCTGTCTTATTTTGTTTAGTATTGGTTTTATTTCTAGTTTTTCTCTTTTTAAGCAGGATCTGACCTTGGACTTGTTACATAGCCAAGGCTGCCCTTAAACTCCAGATCGTCTGGAAGGAGAGATTTCTCAGTCGTTAAGAGAACTGACTGCTCTACCAAAGGTCCTGAGTTCAATTCCCAGCAACCACATGGTGGCTCACAATTGTCTGACTCCAGTTCCAGAGGATCCAACACCCTCACAGAGGCATACACGTAGGTAAAGCACATAAAATAAAGATAAGGTCATTATTTAAATATAAAAATAAAAAACTTCTGATCCTCATGCCTCCATTTTCCAAATGCTTGGATTATAAGGTACTCACCACCAAGCCTCAATTTGTTTTGTTTTTTGAGACAGTTTCTCCTTGCAGCCCTGACTGTTCTAGAACTCTTTCTGTAAACCAGATTGGCCTTGACCTCACAGAGATCCACCTGCCTCTGCCTCCCAAGTGATGGGATTAAAGGCGTGCACCACCACCCCTAAGCCCCAGGCGGGCTTTTTTCTGTCTTTAATCTCTCGGCCATCATTGAGCTGCTCTGTGGTCTGACTGGCATGTACACACCTTCCCTAGAGCTCTCACCGCCTCCACTCTCAGACACTCATTTCGGCTTTTCAGCAGAATGCTTCCTACGTCAAACAAGCAAACTATACCTGAGAAAAAATACTAAAGCACTGGACTAACCCTCAAACTCACAGCCATCCTCCTGGCTCTGCCTCCCGAGTGCTGGCATTAAAGACATAAGCCACAACGTTGGCCCAGCCTAAATTTGCTTCTGAATTTTAAGCATCCCCAAGTCACACACAGACCCATCACTGCCTTTCCCTCTCCCCGCCATTGCCTTTAGATGAATGGGTAGCTTCGAAGCGACTACCTTCAATACATGAACAGAAAAAGCCAAAGGGTGTATGCACTCCAGCCTGGGTTTATAATTAAGTCTACAGCAATATGAACAAAACCAGGAGGAACATTTGTTTATTTTTCCATGTCACGGAGATAGTCCCCACAGTCAAGCAGGTGGAGGCTTGAATACAAAGATTAAATCTCACACGTCACCAACGCTACAGTCAACATCAGTTTGGAGGTTCCGCTTTGAGTTGGAAAGTCACACGGCCTCAAGCAAATGAGGCAATGGCGCCCTGCATGTTTACAAGGCTTCATTTTTCATATGTGCTCTGTGATGGTTTAAAATCCAACGGCCCCATAGGCACATAGGTTTGAAAGTCTAGTTCCCAGTTGGTGGGCTGCTTAGGAAGATTGAGATGTGGCCTTGTTGAAGGGATGAGCTGTAAGGTTTCAAAAGCTCACACCAACCCCCTCACATCTCTCCCTCTCTCTCTTCCTCCCTTCCTCAGATTAGGACATAAACTCTCAGCTACTACTCTAGTGCCACACTGGCCTGCCACCATGCTCCCCACCATGATTGTCACGGACTGACCATCTGAAACTATAAGCAAGCAAGCCCCAATTAAACGCTATCTTTTCATAAGAGTTGCCTTGGTCATGGAGTCTCTTCATAGTGACTGACTTACCCACTCACATTCAGATCTCTAATCTTAACACCACTAGTGTCTTCAGAACTGCCTTCAACTAAAACGGGCCTTAGACATCAAAGACACAATTTACCGTCACAAGCATTCTCCGTGGAGACACCTCCCATAGACATGTCTCCTTATCTCCTCTACACCTCACCTCAAAGACAAGAGGACAACACTGAAGTATGACAGTCCAACCAGATTAAGCACAACTGTGCGCTAGGCAAAATCTATAATCTCTACTACCTTATTCACTCAGAGGGTGTCACGTCGCCAATTTGGGCCCGGGGACCTTACAGGGCAAGAAACTAAAAGGCCTCCAGCCAACCAGCATCAAATACCTGAGAGCCCTCAGTTCAACAGCCTGTGAGGAACTCGGCCCTGCACAACTGCTGAACATGCTCGGCCAACACCCCCGCCATTCGAACCTCCAAATAAGATCAGAAGGGTCACCATTAAGAAAGCCAGAGTGATGGGCTCTCAAGCTGCCTAAGGCTTGTCACTGGACAAGGCTTTAACTTGGGGAAACGCCATAGCAGGTAACTCATTATGAAGGGATTAGAAGGGGAGAGGCATCAAGGGAGAGTTCTAGTCCCAGCTTTCATCTGAACTTGACCCTCACCTTCAGAGCATCCCCCTCGTTGCCCTCCATCACTTCCAGAATCAGGGCGGCTAGGATGTTGAAGCCTTGGCAGTACCCCACATTCTTGTTCCAGCGGGCGTAGGCCAGCAGCACCCGCTTCAGCACCACCCTGTCCTGCTCAGCCTCCTGGCCGCAGTAGGAACTACAGCCCGTGCGATGCAGATCCTAAAAGGGGGAAAGAGCTTTAAAAATTATCTCCTGCCATAGTTTGGATCCGTGCTCTTGAAGGAGCTACTGGGACCCTCTCTCCCCCTCCCCCTCCCCGCTCCTCCCTCTCCCCTCCCCCTCCCTCTCCCCTCCCCACCTCCCTCTCTCTTGCTGGTCTTCAGGAAGTGAGCAGTATTTTTCCCCTGCTCATACTTCCCACCACAACACCTGCCCACCATAGACCCAAAACAATGGGTCAAAAAACCCTCTCAAACAATGAGCCAAAACAGATTTTTCTCCTTATGAGTTGACTGTCACAGATATTTTGTCACAGCCTGGTCACAGTGATTGAAAGCTGACTAAAAACCTCATAATATACTTCCTTGGGTGGGGGGATATATCTATATACACACATACATTTATATAAATATCTATATCTCAAGTTCTTTCCTCACTTCATCTTCACCTCTATCAACATGGACACTGAGTGTTGTGCTTGATTTAGAAGCAATTTATACGCATGAGCCAGAACACTCTTTTGAATTGTGTTTTCCTTCTGCTTTCAACTATGCCATCTGAGAAAGAGTCACAGGGACATGTTTTAGTCAGGCAAATGTTCTGAGAGTGCTTCCAGAACCAACAGAAAGAGGTACTCAATGACCAAACTCCATTACAATTTCCTGTAAGTGGAGAACATTTTTTCAAGATGTCCATTAGTCATGTTTGCATACATATCCATTTCAGCACATAATGCAGGGTGCCAACATTAATCCTTTGAACAAAATACAGTATGAGGCTTAGCTGCTAAAGCTATAACACTAAAGGCTAAAATTAAAACAGCAAAGTCATTATGCCATACAGAGACATTATCCTACACAGATCATGCTATATACAATACGGACCCTAACACCTGCTGCACTTCAGTGTGCAATGGGGCTAATATCTTTAATTACCAAGATGACCATGGTTTTCAGGAGAGATTATTTTGCTGATGGAACATTTGTTTCAATGAAAAAAATAACAATGTCTTATATTATTACATTTGATTATAAAATGTGCATTGCCTAAGCTGGCCACTGAGGTGCACTCCTTCAATCCCAGCACTCAGGAGGCACAGGCAGGTGGATTTCTCTGACTCTAAGGCTAGCCTGGTCTACACAGTGAGTTCTAAGCCATCCAGGGATACATAATGAGACCCCCATCTCAAAAACAAACGAACAGGGCTGGAGAGTTGGCTCAGAGGTCAAGAGCTCTGGCTATTCTTCCAGAGGACATGGGTCCAATTCTGAGCATCCGGATGCCGCTTATAACTGTCTGGAGCTCCAGTTCCAAAGGATCCATTGCCCTCATCTGACTCCCATAGGTACCACGAATGACAGAGATGCACAGGCATACATGCTGGCAAAACTCCCACACACATAAGATAATGGTTTTTGAAACTGCATTCATTGCCTTAACTCATAAGTTAAACAGAAAGGGATTGTTTCAAATATGAAATTCCAAATAACGAAATAAAGCATGGATGATGCAAAGGGCTTCAGCATGTAACGTGCAATGCCACGATTTTTTAAAATGTTCATTTGAAACAAACCCAGCTAGATCAGAAAGTAGCTCGTTTTAGTTTGTTCTTTCCTCTTTTTAAAAAAAAAATGGATTTAAATGTGCCAACACATTAGCCATCTTATGGTGGCCAAAATGCAGATGAGACAGCCTTCCTTTTCAAATCCCAGCTTAGCATCCCACTGTGGAACACTCACAAAATCAAAGCCCACGTGCCCGAGCCTTATGTACAAGGATTATTCTGGTACCGAATGAAATCAGCATTGTTGGCTCTTAGCATCAGCTGGAACAATGAAGACCCAGCCACAGCTGCCCCCACAACTGACCTGAACTGAACTAAACCACCTGGTTTAACACAGATCCATCAGCCAATACTATCTATAAATTAACACTTAGACTAGCAAAGGCTCTAATAAGAGCCAATCGTTTCTAATACGAAATACACCCACCTCTAAATCTCTCAGTCCAATGACTTTAATGTGAAAGTACAATTGGTATCCCTGACCCATACTAAGGAAAATTAAAAGGAATTTCAATCTCATATTGTGTAACAAAATTAGATCAGATATTCACGGAAGCATCCATATTTTCCTCTTTTTTTCTGACAACATTTAAACTTATGAGAGCAAGGCACAGTCAAGTTCTCCATACAAAAGCTAAATGATGGGATGAGGGGGCAGATCATATGTAGACGATCAGACCCAGAGGTCATCTGACCCTCTGTCTAGGAGCCGTTTGGCTCTGTGATTCCTTTTTGCTGCATTTGAACAGGAAGCCAAGTTCGGCAGTGTCACCTTGACTATCTGGATCCCCATGGAGTCATCATCAGGATTGCTTCTCTCATTGAAAGTGAAGCGCAAGGTTTTGTCCCAGTCAATGGCTATACTGTGCAAATAGTGATCCGCCAATGTCAGCCAAACCTAAGGGGTCACATAAACAGAAAAGCTCAGTGAAGCAGAATGTCCCACTTTTATTAGAAATCTAGGCTTGCATCCAGGAAGGGATGGGAACTCTTCTGAGGTCAGGGCTAGCTCATGCATGTAAGTCTGGTTTGCTATGTTAAAGGGGACCCTGGAGGGTCTTTCATTCTTTCTTGCAATAATTATTTGTTGAGCTCAAGTTCCAATGTTGATTGCATTTTTTAAATCAATACCCATATAGTACATTTCAAATTTCATGTATTTGAACGTAACTTGGCAACCAGACTCCTATGCATCAGAACCCTGCTCAAATGCCCACTGGATACCTTTGTGTTAGATATGTGTTGGGCATCTCAACTACAGCAGATGTCAGACCAGTTACTCCACCCCACCACTACAATTATATACGAAGACAAACACACCTGTCCCTCCCATCTGCACCAACAGAAGCTCTTCCTTTCCAGCCACTTGGGCCAAAATCTTCAGGTCACCTTTGACATCCCATTTACGTCTGGTATTCAATCCATTGGGCATTCAGCTCAGCTCAGCCTTCAAACCACATCCAGAATCTAACCCCTCTTGCCATCTCTAAGTACCATAACATTGGCCCTGTTCTTGCCAGAATTTTTAGAGTTCACATGTTTCCTGGTTTGCACCCTCATAGTTTATATGCTCAAGGCAATAGAGTAGTAGATCTGGTCAACTAGCTTGGAACTTCCCAGTGTTCGTGTTCTCATTCTCTCTCTCTCTCTCTCTCTCTCTCTCTCTCTCTCTCTCTCTCTCTCTCTCTCTCTCTCTCTCTCTCTCTCAGCACACACACACACACACACACACACACACACACGCTGAATGAAGAGCCCTAGTGTTTCTACAACCTAAGACATTCACAACCTAGCCACTCACATGGCCTCTAGACCCATCCCCTCCTATTGCCTCCCCTCCTTGATGAGCCCCCCTGCAGCCTCTCACTTTTCTGAGAACAAGCCCCAGGTGCTCCCCACCTGAGTGCCTTCCCCCAGGCAGCTGCAGCCGACTGCTCACTTCCTCCTGCAAGGCCCTACTCACATGTCACTTTCTACATAAAATTCCACCTCCTTATCCATTTTCCCCCACAGTCTCCTCATTCCTTTCTCTGCAACCTGTCTCTCTACAGCACTTACCACTGTGTGGCTCACCGCATTTGAGTCACCGTAAGTCCTAGGAGGGCAGAATATTCCATCTGCTTTTGTTTCCACTGCTGCATCCCTGGCACGCCCAACATTACCCGGCACGGATAGCACACACCCAGCACGTGATTAATGAAGAATCTGCTTTTGACTTCCCAGACATTGGAATGGACAGAATGATGGTCCTGTTGCATTTTAGCCCTGTGGGCTCACTTACCTTCCTTCTCCATTCCTTTGGAATCCCTGTTGATAGTCTGGCGACCGCCTTGAGGGCATCATACCACTAGGACCAGAGAGAAGCGTTAGAGAAGTAATAATCTGGACCTGGAGCAGCACCTGTCGGGGTTCCTCCATCTGGACATCTGTGCTGGCTGTTTTTATGTCAACTCGACACAAGCTGGAGTCACTCGGCAGGAGGGAGCCTCAGCTGAGAAAATGTCTCAGTAAGATCTGGCTATAGGCAGGTCTGCAGGGAATTTTCTTAATTGGTCATTTGAGTGTTGGTGCTGCCATCCCTGGGCTGATGGTCCTGGGTTCTATAAGAAAACAGGCTGAGCAAGCCTTGGGGAGCAAGCCAGTAAGCAGACCCCTCCATGGACTCGGCATCAGTTCCTGTCTCCAGGATCCTGCCCTGTGTAGTAAGATTTTTTTTTCTCTTTTGAGGGACCCGTCACCCAGCTCCCCAATGAATCACATACATGGAGGTTTATTCTTAGTTAGGAATGCTCAGTCTTAGCTTGGTTTGTTTCTAGTCAGCTTTTCTTATCTTAAATTATCCCATCTACCTTTTGCCTCTGGGATTTTCCTGTTCCCTTCTGTAAATCTTACTCTTACTCCATGGATTGCTGTGTAGCTGAGTGGCTGAGCCCCTGACCCCCTCCTCTCCTTGTTCTCTCTTTTCTCCTCCTCCTCTTCTTTTCTCCTTCTATTCATCCTCTCTGCCTGCCAGCCCCGCCCATCCTTGCTCCTGCCTCGCTATTGGCCATTCAGCTCTATATTAAGCCATCAGGTGTTTTAAGTCAAGCAAAGAATCATGACTTCACAGAGTTAAACATAAACAATGCAGCATAAACAAAAGCCACACCCCTTAAAATAATATTCTACCACAGCCCTGTTTGAGTTCTTGTCCTGCATTCGTTTGATGGTGAACTATGATGTCGAATTGTAAGCTAAGTAGACTCTTTCCTCCCACAACTCGCTTCAGTCAAGGCGTTTCATCACAGTAATAGTAACCCTGACTAAGACAACATCCGTAGTACATGAGAAAATTAACACCGCACCCTAAGACACAGGGCTCCTCCCTGCCAGAAGTTATCTTTCTGGGGTCTGTAAGGATCTCAAGCTTTAAGTGCCCTAACTAAACATACCTGTTACCATTTTGGGCCCAGCTGCTAGAAAGATGTGAAACAAAAGGACACACATAACTGTAAGTTAGAGATCTACCTGACACATAACTGTAAGTTAGAGATCTACCTGACACATAACATGAGCTAGAGATCTACCTGACACATAACTGTAAGTTAGAGATCTACCTGACACATAACATGAGCTAGAGATCTACCTGACACATAACTGTAAGTTAGAGATCTACCTGACACATAACATGGGCTAGAGATCTACCTGACACATAACATGAGCTAGAGATCTACCTGACACATAACTGTAAGTTAGAGATCTACCTGACACATAACATGAGGAGCTAGAGATCTACCTGTGAGCTCTTTGTCGTTTCTGAAGTGAAACTGTAACCATGTCATTCTCTCTTGTATCACTTTATTTTAAAAAATGCAAAATTTTTCATTGCAAGTATAAACCCAGGTTACTTATGCTTTAAAAGTTATTTTATTACAAATTGAAAAAAATGGCAGCTCTTGTATATCAAAATATATTTGAACACTTTCACTTTAAGAATATATAACAATGTGTCCTGATGGTGCCCCCAAATTTAAAAAAAGCCTTAAAAGCCAAAAACAAAGTTACCTGCTGAAAACCATTTTGTCCTAAAGACGGCTCAAGTGTGAACTTCAATTTTGTATCAACTCCTAGAAGAAAATTAAGTAGTTGTTATTTATAGAAATCATAACAGTTATATCATAAATAAATTCAACACTTGGCTCTACGGAATTGTGTTAAATTAAGTGTTTTTACTAAATTTCAGTTGATTTCATTAAAATTAAAATATATTACCTATAATAGAGAAATGACCTAACACAATAAAACGGAGTTTAAAACATTGATGGTAGCTTCCACAAATGCCTTGAGTAATATAAAAACAAAACCAATAACTGGCATCACAGGCTAGAGTTACAGATCTCCAGTATCTTTGGGTCCTAAAGTAAAAAATCCTTAGCCTGTCTGGACCTCAATTCCCTAATCATCCATTGATAGCTGCTTCTACCCCAGAGTTCTGTTGCAGCGATTGACTGTAAAGCTCCTCACCTGGGTAATCAGCAGTCACAAAACACAAAGGGGGAATTCTCCACTTACAAAGTTTGTTTTGCTGCAACACTTACATAGACTAAGACAGCTAAAGAAACTTCAAGGGCTGGAGTTGAGGCTTGGCAGTCCATCGACTATCTAGCATGTGTAAGACCTTGGGTTCCATTTCCAACACTGGGGACAGGGGTACTTCACTGAACCATCAAAAGCTATAAAATGCTGCTGTGGCACTATGAATGAAGCGAGGAGGCAGAGCTAGTGCCTGGTGTGTACAAGGCTCTGAGCTAGAGTCCTAAGAGTACAAAATTTAGACTCCATTGGTGTGCCTCTTTCTGTTAGCTTCTATTTGGCAATGCTGGGGATCCAACCTATAGCCTAGTACATGCCCTTTCACTGAGTTACACCCTACCACACTTCCTTCTGCTTATGGAATGATTTATTATAACAATTCCATTTGATGATGCCCAAATATTTTAATTTTGTCTTACTATACCTATTCATTGATGATAAAAAGATATTAAATTCTTGCCGGGTATTGGTGGTGAATGCCTTTAATCCCAGCAGTTGGGAGGCAGAGGCAGGTGGATCTTTGTGAGTTCGAAGCCAGTGTGATCTACAGAGCAAGTGCCAGGATAGACTCCAAAGTTATACAGAGGAACCCTCGAAAAATAAAAAAAATATAAACTAAACATAGGACTGAATGCTAATCCTAAGTAATCTACTGCTTTAATTTTCTTTAATTTAGATCCCAAATCTATGAAACAGAGGTAGGAAAGTACATTAAAAATAATTTTTTTTGGTTTTATGAGATAGGGTTTCTCTGTATTGTTTTGGAGGCTGTTGGTCCAGCCCAGCTTCGAACTCACAGAGATCCACCTGCCTCTGCCTCCCGAGTGCTGGGATTAAAGGCGTGCACCACCACCGCCTGGCCAAAAATAAATTTTTATTACTTATATTTAGCCTTTATTCACAATTCTGTAATAGAAATATATGTTGTTATTGAAGAGAAATTCTATAACTATGTTTATTTTTGTTCATATTCTATAAAAAATCTGAAAATAGGATATGTTCTTTTTCTACAACTTCAAAATCACTTGATAACATAGTTTGGTTTTTGAAGACAGGGTCTCAGTATTTCACCCCTAATGGCCTGGAACTCACTGTGTAGATCTGCCTTGTCTTCACTTCCTGTATCTTCTAAGTCCTGGGATTTTAGGCAGGCACCATCATCGTGCACAACTTTAAAGTGTGTGTGTGTGTGTGTGTGTGTGTGTGTGTGTGTGAGCATGCATATTGGGTGTCTTGACTCATAGTCTCTCACTGTGGAGCTTACCCATGCTGGTAGGCTAATCAGTAAACTCCAGAAGTGTGTATCCATCTCACCCCCACCCCTGGATGCTGGGGCCACACAATTGCACTGTGCAGAGTTTGCATAAGTTCTCCAGATTCAAACTCAGGTTCTCAAGCTCCCACAGCAAGCACTTTATCGTCACGCCATCTCCCCAGCCCCTTTAGCCAATTTAAAAAAAAAACTTATTGCTTACAAGTTCAAGGATCAAGAAATATCAAATATTCTCAATATTCAGAAAACTCAAATGAGAACACTGTTGCCCATAAAAAGTAGACTGTAGATTACACACATTAAAAACCTCTCAACTTCCATCACTTAGATATTGGCACGGGTAGGAGCACTTAGAGGTTGGCATGGATAGGAACAATCTTCAGGACTTGAAAAATAATAAAGTAGCCTTTTAAAAAGCATACATATGGAATCTAGAAGCAAGAAAAACGTGTCTGGTTTGCCCAAGCCCATGGCCGTAGCAGATAGGTAGTGGTGATCTTGTTGCTCTTATTGATGATGATGTGGAGCCCCGTGCAAGTGATCTGGACAAGTGTATTGACACATTTCCTAAGTCAAAAATCCAAGGCATCCGATGATACCTTGACATTTCAAAGCTTTAAAATCAAAACCAGGATTATACCTGGATAGATGATTTTCTTCTCCAAGGGAATATTATTTTACCCACTGATTCTCATCTCTGAGAGGTGGTTTTCATGACCCCCTGCCTCCTTTGTGGTACGCCTCCAGCTCAACCAATGAAATGGACTTTGTAGGAGGGTGCTGTCCAGGCCTGGGGTGCTGAATGCAAGCGCTTATAATTAACGTTTCTTGCTTTATTACAACAAAAACCAGGAAATACAGTCCCATGGTGACTTTGCCACTGCCCTAAAACCACTGAATTGCCAGTGTGTTTTGACCAATTGCGCTGCTCTAACTTTTGGGGGCCACTTGCTGGGAGTTAAACAATTGCTTTCCTGTGCTGAAACCCAACTGGGGCTAGTTGGTCAAAACCACAACTATTTTCTCCTGCTCAAAAATGAGTCAGGTTTTAAGTGGAATTGATCATTCGCCGCCCGCATGCAAAGGCTCAACTCGGGTCATTTTCACGCTCTTTTCTTCTAAGTGAAACGAGAGGAGAGGAGGTTTACGTTTCATCTGATAATCACAGCTGTTCCGGATTCAGAAATACAAAACACTGTTCAACGTGGGAAAGAGATTTAAAGGAAAAAAAGGTAAAAGACGACAGAGTATAAATACTACACTGTCTGCAAGTAGATACTTCAGTTGGGCAGAAAAGAAAAAAAACAAAGAAACCACGAGGTTCGTAAAAGCAGCAACGTGTTCCACCCTTTGGGACCCAGTGCCTGGGCACAATCTGAAGTGGCTGGGTGACAGCAGATCCCAGAAGGGGTGGGGGGGTGGGAAAGGAGCATACTATGGAGACCACGAACTGCCTGGAGGCAGCTGGGGCCACCCCAGGGAAAGGTGAGCGCCCTGAGCTCCAGCTCAGCGAGCAAATAGAGCTGCTCCCCCTGAGGCCACCCCTTGCCAGAACCCTCAGTGCCCAGGCGCGGGTGCCAGGGCCAGGCTCTTAAAACCCTGAGCAACGATGCCAAGTGACCGCGCTGGCGCGGAGATAAGCAGAGCCTGGAGAAGCCGGACGTGTAAATACAAGGTGATGGTAGGAAAGACCTGTTCTCGAAAGGCCAGGCGGGCTCCTGGACCTTAGCCACATTCAGCAGGAGTTCGTGCCCTCCCCTACCCCAACACAAACACACCACAGGGACTCTCGGGAAAACGTGCACTCGATCGTCCTTCGCAGTCGCTGCCTTTCCCTCCGACCTGCGGGGTCAAGGCCAACCCACACACCTCTTTGGAGGTCTGGCTTCCAGGGAGGCCTAAGCACAATAGGTGACGCAGCCTGGGCTGGAAGCGGCAGCCCTCCTCACTTCACCACCACACACGGAGGCCGAGCGCACAGGCCGCGGGGTGGCTTCTGCCGGGCAGCAGGTTGTCCTCGTCCTGGTGGCCGCTGAACGCACCCAGGCCAGGATCTGCTCCCATCCCTCCCACCTGCACCCCCGGCGCCCATCCGCAGCCCGCGCCTCACCCGGCTCCAAGGTGCACAGCAACCGGGGCGCGGTCCGCGAGATGCAGCTCCGCTTCTTGAGCACATTGCTCAGGATGGTGCCCACTCCGCCGCCACCGCCGCCCTGGCGCTTCAGGCATCGCCCGCCGCGACGCAGGGAGCCGGTTAGCTTGTCCTGCCGCATCTGAGAGCGCCGTCGGCCTCCCGGGTCCACGCTGCTGCTCCGGAACGACTCCGGCACGCAAGGCTCAGAGAGTCCAAGCCCGCGAGGCTCCCTGGCGAGCGGCGGGCGCGCAGCCGAAGCCCCAGAGACGACAGGATCAGAGAGACACACGGCGGGAGCAGCAGAGCTCCGGCAGACCGGCTGGCATCTGCAGTGCGGAGCCCAAACGGCTGAGACCCGAGCGGGCTGGGAGGGGAGGAGGGCGGGAGCGAGCGCGCGGGCGCGCAGAGACGGAGGCGGCGCCTCGGTACCCAATCCCGGCAACAGCCTGAGCTGGCAGGGCGGTCTGAGTCCCCGAGCCTAGCCAGAGCCAGCTCCGGAGGACAGAAACCAAAAACACGCCTGAGCCTGGGAGGGATGGAGGTGCAGACACCATCAAGTGCCCACCTAGTTTGAGCAGCCCGGAGAGGAGGGGGCGGAGAGAGGGAGGGCAAGGCTGTCCAAGGACGAACAGACCCCGGGGCTGAGAAGCTGGCAGATGGTGACCTCAACCTTCAGCCCAAATTATGTTCCTGGCCACTTCGAAGGAGGGCAAAAAACCGTGTTTAATAATTGTAACAACAACGATATAGCTCCTCTTGGGGAAACGGAACCCTAAGAAAAATGTTCCCATAGAAAAAGCAAGTTTTGGAAAGAAGTGTTTCCGAGGACATGGCGCGGCCAGGTTCTAAATAAGAAATATCTGCCAGACTTGAAAACCTCAGAAGAGACTTGAAAGGGTGTAGTATTGAGTCAAGGCTTTAGGAGGTGGGCTGGAGAGAAGGAGTAACTACAGCAAGACTGGTGTCTTGGCAGTCATCTGGACGGTGACTTTGAAGGTGTGAACTCTCCCAGACAGATAAAGGATGATGGCCACATCCTGACAAGTCCCACCCGGCCTGAGGCTACCCATGTGGGCGGTCCACCTGCCTTGAGCTGCCTTGAGCTATCCATTCCAGGGAAGCAGAAA